ATTGAATAAGAGTATTTTAGAAAAATTAAAATACAACTACATTATTTAATTAGAAACTGAACTACAATTTGGGAAAGACGAAAAAAGAAAACAGGACTATCAAAGTGAGACGGAGGGAGTAGTTAATTTTGTTGGAAAAATAAATTTAGATTGCTATTTTCCTAAAATACAGTTGACTTTTCATATATCAATATATTTTGGAAAATCTAAATGCATTAAATGGATAGATTATATTCAATACTAATAATCTACATTGAATAAGGTAGTTTATAGTAATAATAACTTACATTGAATAAGGGTATTTTAAAAAAATGAAAAGACAACTACATTCTTCAATTGGAAAGTGGACTACAATTTGGGACAGACGAAAAAAGAAAACAGGACTATCAAATTGGGAAGGAAGGAGTATTATTAAAATTTTTTTTTGTATTTCATACATTTTAAAAATAGTCTAAAAGACCCTTGTACTGTTCAACTAACCATATAAAGATATGTAAATAAAATTTTAAAGTATTATACTTCATGGCTTATATTTCATTTTTAAAAAAAATTAAAATTTGAGCAAGAATAATGACATACTTCTTGAATTACATACAAATAAGAGTGATTATACATCATAATAAAATCTAGATATATACATATATAAGGTGTATATATACATATTTAAGTAATTAGGAGATAAAATTTTAATAAATATAACATCTCATATATAAAATAAATTTGAAATTGCTATAAAAGTAGTATAGTTTTTGAAAACTATAGTAATTTATCAGTATTTTTAGTTTTGTAATTTTCAAATATGTTCATACTATTTACGTATGAATTTATATACCTAGTTTTGTTGAACACACATTTTTATACTAAACTTTTCAGCGCACTTTAAAAAAAAAATCATATACTATGCATACATATATTACCTTGTCCTACACTCGTTTTATATTTTACTAACTATGCACTCAACCACAATTCATTTTTTTTTTGCCAGTCTAACTTGTGCTATAAATTAAACTTTTGGCATACTATCTTTTTTACCAAAGTTGGGGAAATTCAGAGTTTTATGTTTATAAATCTTGAATTCCCGAACAATCTTTTTTTACCAAAATTGGGGAAATTCAGAGTTTTATGTTTATAAATCCTGAATTCCCGAACAATCTTCAAAACCGGCAACTTTTAGCATACTAACATTCTATGAATTTGCGGATTTGAGGCGAGGCATATCATTTTACATTTGGATTCCAAACATGGCACATATAGCATGTATTTAGATTCCACATACACAGTAGTCAACGCAGATGGGATTGACTAGGAGCTAATTAGTGCTTACAAATCTTTTTTGGTGGATTTTCTTATTTTTGTTTTCATTAGTTGAGTGAATCAGAGCTGAACCGTATCGCTCATGCAGTCTAACAACTGGACACGTCACACTCGAACGTGTAACAAGCATTAGTGGGCCTAGTTACCAAAGAGACCCATTTATTGGGTAAGAGCTGTGTTAAGGTGAAATAGGATGGGATTATACAATGTTGCACCTTCCAATCAGATAATATATTTCTTCTTGGGGAGATCCAATCAGGTGACTTAGCGACATGTGATGCAACGGACGGCCGTTGATGGGTTTTGGTGGGTCCAGTTAATAATCAAGATTTTGTAGGTCAACATTGGATGGTTACCAATACAGGGTCCCCAATTTAAAGATGGAACAAAAAATTGTAAAACTGCATCTTATCGTTTCCACAGACAACAGAAGTTTTCAGTACAGCGGAATTAATAAGGGATAAATTTTCCACACACTCACACTATATAATATGCATATATATATATATATATATATAAGAGAATATGATATTCAATTATAAATAATAATTAATTGTCATATATTTAACTTCGTTTTATATATATATTATTGGTATATACAAACTTTATCCATTAATAAATTGTGTCCGCAAGTTCACGGGTCATAAAGCACACAATTGATCTATTCTAGAGGAATTGCGGGGAGTGAAGAAAAACATGTAAAAAATCTAATAGAGCAAAGAGTGTCCTTTAAGGAAAAATGTACAATTATATGGGTTTGTTCAAATTGTAGTTTATTTGTTAATTTTTATTTATTTGTATTATCAATGCATTTTTCATCATTTTTTATCTCACACACATCATAGTAAAAAGTGTTGCAGTATAGTTTTAAAAAATTATTTCAAATAATCTACCGTCCAAACACACACATTAATTCAGGAAACAAAAAAGAAAATCCAGCTTGATTAGGCACACAAGAGGAAAGTTAAAAAATGATGGCGCAAATGACTCCTGACGCATTCATTTGCTAAAATCCTGCTATGGTCCAAGCAATATATAATTTCTTTTGTGAAATGTTAAGCCAATTGTGGCACTGTAAATTATTTGATAAAATGCATCAAGTTAGATCATTATCTCATACTCTAGACTTTGGAGCATTAACAAATTGTTCATTTTCTTCTTGTATGAGCTTGACAATAAACTTAAAGTAGGTTCTTCACTTCTTCCCCATCAAATTTCCAATATGGAGGAATATCAATATCCCATAGGTCCCTTTTTCTACGAAAAAAAACAAATTTCCTTCGGTAAGAAAAGCAAAAAATTCAGACCATGTTAAGTAACTAAATGACATTTTGCCATGCTTAATAGATTAATATGCAAACTAGCCAACGTGCAGTATACTATACCAAGGGTAGAGGCCAATAATTAATAAGAAAAGACTCTCTGCCTCCAACTCAGTATGAATGTTTTCATAATATGTTAATTCCATGAGCATCTGATGGTTACATGCATTGTAAGCAGTGTGCCAGTCCATAATTAATGATCATTAATTCACAAACAATAAAAGCCTCTCATGCATGAAATTTTCAGGGAGGGAAAAGAACAAGGAAAAAAGGGGGAAGAAAAAAGGGCCACCAAATTGCACTAAGTATATGCCGTTACAGATAAAACCTTTCCATCATACATTTATAAATCGCAAAATTCGCAGATGTCTCACTTTTCTTTTCTGGCTGATTGTGGTACGAGCCAAGACTGGCATGAAATGAATCACGCAGCTGCGTCAATATCACTAAGCCGCCTGCTAATTACTTTATTATTTATTTCTTGTTTTCATATCCCGAAATGTTACCATCACTTTTTGCATAATTAATTTATGATTACATGAATACTCGAGCTCTAAAATTCCCGTCTTCTTTTAAGAATACCAAGAACTACCTGCTTTTGTTAAATCTTCAATGCGCTTTATACGATTTTTGCTGGAAGGATCATGGATCATGGAATGATCTTCTCGTGTACGAGTAGCGGATAGATCTCTTCTGCTCTTTACCAAAAGCGCAGAATAGTCTCGAACAAAAAGCAGCCAAAAGTTGCACCTCAGCATGCCTTATGGCACCTATGCCACTCTACCAGTTATTGCTTTCAAAGCGTAGACTCTGCTACCAGTGCTGCCACAGCCCACAAGTCCAAAGAAGATTTTGAACCTCAATATCATTCCTTCCTTTTTACTACCTTGTTTTTTCTTTGTGGGATTCTTTAATACTTTCCGAGATTCAACACAGTGGAAAGGATTCACCACCTTCCTAAATCAATGGTTTCTTTTACTGTCAACTCCTTTGGTTTGTAATATGCATGCTTGGGTTTACTAGTATTAAGAACTGCCGTCCAATTGCACCAATTAGAGCAAAGACAGAGTAGAGTACAGATGGAGATGGTAACTAGGGAGGGCGAAACTGCAGCAGGAGAGATTTGTCCTGCCCTTTCTTGCTCCCCTTTTGAGCCATTAATTAAAGATGTATTTATGTGTTTGCTGTAGTAGTAGCAGCAGCAGCAGCAGCAGCAGTTGTAGGAAAGTATGCAATTCTGATTCAAACACAACAGTTAGCAACATGAGGCAGCTTGCTGCATTTTTACCAGAGTTATACATGGTAATAGAAATTATGAATTATAGCATATAGCTGTACAAGTTGTTCGCCAATATAGGTGCCTGTAGGGTTTCTGCTATGATGTGTTGCTTTCTTTCTTTTCTTTGCTTTGCTTTTCTTCTTCCCTCCCTCTCTCTTTTGTGGCTCGATCTCCAAGAAGTACTGAGGCTAGAGACCACCATCCAAAAAAGGAAAAAAAAAAAAAGAGAAAAAAGAAAAAGAAACGGATGCAAGCACTTAATGTTCATGCATCATCATTAATGGTAGTCGGTGCATTTTTTACCGAAAGGAAGCAAATGGTTGTTGATGCTTGACCACTTGATTATTTTTCTTCCTGATACATGAATTGGATTATTAGAGAATAATTAAGTGGAACATTGGGAGTCCAATTCAAATAGTCCACTTGTGTATAGGGTTTAACTATTGGACTACATTTTATTTTCTATTCCCATAATAACCTAGGTTTGTTTGGATTGTGAATTATTTGAGATATTTTTACTGTAGCACTTTTTGTGATGTGATGTATGCGAGATAAAAAGGTAATTGAAAAGATAAAAATGTGCGTTGGAAATTATAATAATGATGTACGCAGATATAATTTGACAAATAATTCACAATCCAAACAAACTAATTTATCTTGCTACTGCATGATCAATTTGAGTTGAAACTCTTTGTTCTTCCTACTGAAAAAGAAACAAAAAGAGTGGTGGGTTTTTTTTTTTTTGAAGGAAAAGGGGTGGTAGGCTGATGGGACTTTGGAGGGGGTAATGGATCGCGGATGCTCCCTTAGAGGTTTAGTATAACGAGTAATGGAGTACAAACTTTTTTTTCTTTTTATTTATTCATTTTCTTTACATATGAAATAACAGCCTAAAGGTCATTAATTACCTATATAGAATTAACCATAACTGAAAGTAGTCAGTAGTTGCTGCTGATTTATATGGTGAGTGCAAGTTAGTGAGGCCATCATGCTACGCTTGCTTTTGGGCTTTGAGGAGTGTGATGATTGATGATCATTTCCTTTTTCGCATTTCTACCTTCAAACATCACACAGCAATTGAGCCATTTTGTTTGTTCATTTTGGTCAAACTCTGATCAACCCGCGACTCTCTTCTCTTCCCTCTCTCCTCTGAGCAGAAAGTACCAATCTTTCTCTGCAATTTAATCACAACCACAGGAATCCAAAACCCTTTATTGGAACTCACCGTTCATCTCCATTCTTACGCATGGTTTCCTGTAGATGGTACTGTTTTAGCTGATGGGGGGTCATGGGACCATACACAGCTTCAAATGTCATCACATACCGTAGCCATCGAAAGAAGTCTTCAACCAGTTAATTATATGTTACTAATCCATTTTCATACTTTTTCTTTTGCAAGTTAGTTAAGTGGAACAAAGAATTCAAAGCAATCTGTACTAGTACAACAATTGAGAAGCTCATTATGGCATGCAGAGGTAGAGCAAGAGCACAAAGGATAGTTCCCTTCCTGCTGTGAGTTCTTTCTTTTTCATCAGCCCACCTAACCAAAAGCTAGCCCTGATTTTAATGATACATGTTTGTCCTCACAAAATAGCATGTGCAAGAAAATGCAGGCTTCTCATCCATGATTGTTTGTTCCAGTCTTTCCAATAAGAACGGAATATTTTTGGGTCAACTGAGGGAAAAGCATCGAATCCGCAGTATTGTGCAACCAGGAAAATGGAGGTGTTTCTTGCAAACATGAGCAGTTACAATTCTCTGGGACTGGAAGAAGAGACAAAAAGAAATAACTGAAACCGGTGGAGAGGCCTGCGATGCCAGTGCATATCTTTTATTTGCTGGACGATGATCACAAGTCATCAGATTGTTCTTTTCTTCTAAAGCAGAGGATAGATTGTGTAGGATAAAAGATTTAATGTAGTGGAAACCTGTTTATTGGAAACATATCATCACAATTCTTCTTCAACTTTTTATCGTGTAACAGGGGCAGCCATCTTCCAATATCTGAATCAAAATCCCGCCTCCATATTCATTCTCATTCACCATTAAAATGCTTGTTCTTGCTTTAACAACACATTAACTCAAATCCATTGCAAACGAACTACCCAGCAATTCGCCTTCGTATGAACTGCGGTTTCGATTTTCTTTTGAACTTGGGCCAGCTTAGTGTTTATGTTATTTGCCCAAAAATTGGAAAGAAATATAACTGGACAGTAGGCAAAGCTTTGACTTTTTCAAGCTCGATCTCAACCACTGTACATGAGATCGTGATTTGATGTTTCCATTTTCGGATACATCTACCTTCACAACACCATAGAGAACAGAAAACTTGGTGGCTAATGAAATTGTCTCCTCCTTAAGGGGCTCATGCTCCGGAGCCCACAGTTGCAGCCGTCATTTTATTTTTTTTTTTTTTATCAGCAATGATACATTTATATAACCTATTCTATCCTAATCCAGGGGGAGGGGAGCTAAAGAAGCTATGATATACAAACTCAACTAGACTAAGAGAGCACTCTCACCTACAGCTCAAAGAGGAATTTAAGTCCCTCTCTGTTGCCACTGAGCCATTGGCCCAGTGGTTTGCAGCCGTCATTTCATGGTCACTAAATCTATGATCCCACGGCATACACAGTTGTGGGCTGTTGCTACCTACAACAACGATAAGTGGGTATGGCTCATGATCTACCTAATCTCTAAAAAGTGGGTATGTCTCATGGCTCTGATACCAATCCTTTTGCTGGGGTTGAAGCAGGCGGGTCCTCCCACAGATACGTAAATAGTTGCACATATATGTGATATTGTAAGGCAAAGACTGCTAACAACTGATTATTTTGGTTTCGTATCATACGTTCCGATTCATCTTTGGAAAGCTAAAATGGACCAAGTCAGCCTGTTTGACTTCTTTCAGCCAGCCATTCCTAACCCTTGTATGTTTTTCCTGCATCGTACTTTGTTCTTAATTGGGTACACAAGAATATAAAAGCAAAATTGGCAGATCTTTCATGTTTCTGATCATGCGAGCTGCAAATATAAAAATTTCCGTGGAGGATCATTAAGTCGAATGTCAGAAAGAAAAAATAAAGAAGATGCATATCCAAGGCAGTCAGCACAAGTAGCAAAGCCCACGAGACTAACCCAACTCAGCAAAACTAGTATTAACTTACAAATCATTTTCTCTTGTCCCGCCAAATAAAACAAACATAAGATGCCGGTCAGCAAATTAGCAACTACCACATTAACAAATGGAAAGACAGGAAATTTGAGTATTGCATTTGTGCCTATGAAGTCTCCGGCAGGAGCAAAACCATCCTTGCACCAAAATATCTCACGCATACTTGGCTAAACTCCAACATATACTGCATTATCACCTAACTGCTGCTACGCTTAAAATGTCCTTTTATAAATCTTTCAGCGTGAGAAGGGTACTTATCTCGAATATAAGCCCGAAGACACTTCTGGTAGGAGAAGTCAATCCATCCACCATCAGTTCTCACGACAAAGAGGCACCTTGAGTGTCTAAATTGGGGATGCCGATCCACCTGCAGACAAAGTACAAATTCAAGAGACGTTCTGTCGATGCATAATTGAAGAGTTTGCCAACTGGCTCAACACAAAATCTCTTGAAAGGTCAAAGTAATAGCGACCACCACTCAAAGATATGCATAATCAATTCTCCATCAATTATAATTTTCACCTCAATCTCTACAAAGGTATGGAAACTGACAAATAACTGGAAAAGTGACGAGATTACTAACTCAAAGAGCATGATCTAGACCCATATAACTGCAAGTGCAGACCATGACGTCACCAGCACCCCAATACAGAGGTCATATAAGAAAGCCAGCAAAAAGCTAATAAAGTTGATCTTCTGATTCTTGCCTCTTACAAAAAATTGGCCTCATCTCTTATTTAAGAGAGGAGGAAAATGCCAAATGAACTAGCCTTGTCTCTAATTAAACATCAGCATCCTCTTATCTATGTCATTAAGTGTTGATAACCAGATAATTGTCATCAAACAAAATTAATATGCATAATTACAAGAACCTGAGAACACCTGGTCATGTTCCAATTCACTTTCCGCTGATTTACGTGAAACTATTCAGATGAATTTACATGCACCAACTTTTCCTGATTTCATCCTTTTAGTTAGGCTTCATTCAGATGTAATTAAACTGGTTACAAATAAGCACTGGAAAAATCCATACTTAGAGATACACAAGGCAAATTCCTACTTGCTGTCCAGTGCACATGAAACTCTTAAAGATGTTGCTTCCTGTGTACAGAATCCACAAGAAAGAGCCTATGCAAATAATTGATGGCAAAAAATCAGAAAGTAAAACCATTGGGAGGTTATTCATGTTTTTATGCCTGGATGAAAGTCCAGTAATGCAACATGAGAGAGAGAGAGAGATCTAAAAATGAATGAGCATAAAACAACTGACTCTTACTAGGACAAAATCAAATTTGGAACACTGAGCAAAGGAGCATAAAACAACTGACTGTTACTTGGATAAAATCAAACTTTGGACTATTAAGCAAAGGATGTTCCAAGCTACTGTTGATGAAGTAGAAAGAAATTCCTAAAAAATTACAACAGATGATTAAAAGAAATTACAAGCAACTTTTGTCAAGCTTCTTTCTTCAGAAAATATTACCTGAGAAAGGAACGACAACTAAGTATTAAGCAATAAGTTTCCATCAATTATGCCCCAAATCCACAGAAAGCAGCCATAGGCTTGCATGTCGTGAATGACAAGAAAAATCAATAAGAGCATTGCAGCGTGACTTCAGACTTTTCATAATTGAAAACATGACGTGATCTGGGAGAAAACAAGAGACACAAAGAAGATGCAAAAAAGAAAGAAAAGAAGAAGAGAGAACGGGAGGAATACTACAAACGGGGAAAAAAAAATGCAAACACCAAGAAGAAAGCATGGAAGATTTCAAAGCTCTTGCAAAAACTTTTTTCAAACATTATCCAACTCAACTGATTCCATGATTGCATGAAATCTTTTCTACGCAATTTAGGAGCATCTGTTGGCATCTAAAACAAGTCTGGATCTTTAGCAGTTAAACTGATTAGCAGCTGATAATTAAACCCGACGAAACCATTCGGAATGCATCTTCACAAGACATATTTCCAAAATACTAGTTCGATTATTGAAAGTTCTCTTCTTTGTCCAAATGGCTTGACCATGCAAATTCTCCCAAAAAGTCTGGCACTAGAATAAATTTAACATAACCACCCAATATCGTGAAGTTTTAACTTTGTTAGCATCCAAGTTGCTGGAGAAACATTTAACTCAGTTATCAGGTCTCCACCAACTACTTATATCTTAAACACATGATGCAACTCACCATGATTGAATCAAGTCCACATCCAATTTTATCTTCAGAATGAGGGTGATAAGCAAGAAGTCTCTCGATCACAGTTTTCTCATCTTCTGCAGTTAGCCGTTCACCATCCATGTACCTATAAGGCAAAGAAAGTAGAACAATCGACAAACTCAAATACAAGAATAAACAGTGCCATTATTAGACATCATAAGCGGGAAACATTTAAAGAGAAGAAGAAGAAGAAAAGGAACAAGAAAGAGCCTTAAGCATACATTTACCAAAAAAGCAATGATAGCAAATGATACCTGACACTATATGTGAGACAGCTATTCTGTCCGTTCGCCCCTCCCCCCAACCCCAAAAAATGAATAAATAAACATACAAGGAAAAGAACAACATTCCTTAATCAGCAACAAGGTTATGTCCATATGCTTTTAAAAGCAACTAGTATGGAATTTTGGGTTCAAAAATGGAGTGGAAAATATAACAAAACTGATGGTACAAAATCAAGGAACTCTAATACTCCATTTAAAATCCAGAAAGATCAAGAAAACAACAGGGAAATGCCTTCCAAACCACCAATTATTATCCATACTACAACTCCACAACCTAGATCAGTTTTCTAAAACCAAATGAAAAAGTCTAACATAGTGAGCAGAAGGACAAATCAAAACACAGACCCAAGCTTGCCCCACATTAACGGACAATTGAGGTAGACAAAGATCACAATGTCCTCAACAGGAAGCCCCATTTTACTACAGAGACTTCAATAGAGGAGAATAGCGTTACAAACACATGCCTCTCTTTGAAAACAATGTTTAACGACCTCAGATAAGTTCGTAATAGTATTTGATTTTAAAGCCTTCAACTGCGTATCATTCGGAGACAATGCCTTCTTTCTCGTACATGAAAAAGGATGATATTTAGGCCTTTGGTAAAATAATATTCGGACACCACTTTTGCAACATTAACATGACACTAAATAGACGAATTCAACTATACAAGCATCAATCAAATGCATTTGCTTATTCGCTGGCTATCTAAATTGTAGCTTAAATTTATGTTAAGCCTATTCAACTAGTTGCACCTTCTTTACCGGCAAACACATGCTCAATTACCAAATTTGATAGACTAGCTAAGATAAGAACTCAACGAGCAATGGTGCAAAAGAATGACATTGGAGGACAATTAAGCTACATTTTTGTTTTTCTTTTGGGTTTACACAAAATGGGCAAGGAAGGAATGTAAACTGTACCTGTTAGAATGGATGATTTCTTTGGCTAAAGAAATTACGGGCTCGATATCTTCGAGTATTTCAGCTTCTTTGTCTTTCCATTTTCGGTAATCTGGGTCGTCCCAAGATCTTCTGGGGTTTGCTACTGAGTCTCTGGCGCTCAGTCCTGGAATGGTAGTGGTCTGGGTGGTCGTGGAAGGACCAGTTTTGTCGTCAGGAGGGATGGATTCCACAGAAGTGAACCACGGGCGGAGAGAGAGCGAACCAAGTGTTAGGCGGCGGCGGTGGAGGTGGAGGCGGTGACGGAGGAGTGGCAGGCCCCTCAGCAGTGGTGCAGCCATCGTATTTTCGACTCGTGTGCTTTACCCAATTCCAAGTCATGAACCTGTTGCATATTAGGGAGCCACTGAGCGAAAAGCTTAGCTTATTGGCCACTGCCAAAACCTTTAACCGGTAGGTAGGCAAGTG